GCGGCCCGTTTCTTCTGCTGCTGCAGGACACGCTCCCGGCAGGTGCGGTACTCCAGGGCGAACTCCTGCAGCAGCTTGCAGATGGGCGTCACCTTCACGTCCCGCGCTGCACTCGCCGGGTACCCCAGGTAGAGCAGAAAGGAGTGAAACCTGCAGAGACATCGGTCACTGCAGGCCACCAAGGAGACCGCGGGGTTGCCGCTGTGTCCCCAGGACCTTGAGCCACTGACCTGTTGAGGACGCGCCTGTGCACCACCTTCAAGACGACAATGCGCTGGGTGCTGTCCTTGAGGAAGTCCGTCAGCTTGCTCTTCAGCACTGGCTTGGTCTCGTGCTTGGCAATCACCTTCAGGTTGTCCCAGGAGGCCCTGCACCTCCGCTCCAGATGCACCAGGCTGTTGGCCAGCTCGTCAAAGTCAACCTGGAAGAGCGAGACCCGAGGCCAAGCCAGTGGAGCTGGGCAGCCATGGGACCCCCACCCTTGTCTTGCTCAGGTGCCATCTGCCTTGCCTTACCTTGGCGGAGCGGGTGATGGAGGCAATCTCTGAGTAGAGGTCAGTGGTTTCTGGGAACTTCTCTACCACCATCTGGCAGAGATGGTGGAGCAGTGACTGCCGGTGCACTGTGTCCTTCACTTCTGAGACCTTCTCCAGGTAGCCCAGCTCAAAGCCTCTGCTCTGAAACCCCAATGCACTCAGCAGGGCCTCTCCTCCAGCAGACCTCCAGCCTGCATGCCCAGTGGGCCCCCACCAGTACCTCCCAGCCTCAGCTGCCAGCCTAGGCTTCCCATGGTCCCTCTCAGGTACCCGTGCACCGCAGCTGGTCCTGTCCTTGCAGCACGCAAGACAGGCCACATCCCTCCACACTCTGCTCCTCACCTGGGAGCCATTCAAGAAGTTGCCCATGGCCAACAGCGTAGCCAGGATGCACTTGAAGGTGTGATTTCTGGCCAGCTGCTCCATGCCCACCTTCAGATCAAACAGCGGCTCTGCAATCTCCTGGGTGAGAAGAGAGGCAGGTGAGACCCCTTGGCCACCCTCTCCCTTGGGAGCTTCAGCATTCACCCTTGCCCATGAGGACAACCACCTCACGGTCAACTCAAGCCCATGCTTGTCTTTGGGACCTGCAGCCCATCCCCAGCCAGGACGGCACC